CCACCTTCTAGCTTCTCAGGTTCTCGAATTATCAACTTACCCGAAAAAACCTTCCACAGGCCCGTACGCGGGTACCACGCTTACCGGGGGGCTGGGTTTGAGCACACTAATATCCACTTGGACGGGGAACATCCCTTTAGATTTCAGCTTTCTACCTACTCAGATCCCCGAGTTATCAACTTACCCGAGAAAAACTTTCACGGGCCCGTGCGTGGGTACTACGCTTACGCGGGGGCTGGGTTTGAGCTCATTAATATCTACTTGGACGGGGAACATCGCCTTAAAATTTCAGTCGCTAAGCATTTCTGGTTCCAGAGTTAGCATTCTTGTTCCCCAGTTCGTAAAAAACTTCGGCGGATAATGGCGCCCATTTTGGGATTTGGGGCCCGTACGTGCATGTAGATTAAGTTCCCAAAGTTTCAGCCCTGCAGCTGTTGTAGGTCTTAAGATGAAAAACCGTGGCAGACACACACACATACACGCAGACAACCCCTCGCCAATACGCGTTTTCTGCATTGTACAGCTGCAAAAAACGCATAAAAAATAGCAAATAACTCATGCCAACAACTCAAAACTTCTACAAGGCTGAGGCTGGATGGTAAAACTGCTGCAACAGCATGTAATGTCTGCTGTTTGATTCAATTTATCAGCTCGAAATATTCAGCCCTCCACCAAGATGACGAACCGAGGCAGCCTGTCGAAGAGGGAACCAAGCAGAGCCTTACTATGTGGCTCTTGCTTTTAATGAAGTACTATTGTTCGGTTCACACAAGCTGGAGAATACAATGAAGAAAGTGACTTTCTACAGTGCTCGAAATGCGTTAATTTTTGCCCGTCATCTGAACAAGATTATATTTCGGCACCAATAAGCAAAAAGCTTGTTACTGCAAGAAAAACAAACACCAAGGATAGCAGGATTGCTCGAACAATCGGTTCGGCGATCTTACCTATTTTGCAAATATTATTAGAGATGCATTCAGCCATGCATCCCTTTTTTATGCGTTTTTGCCGTGCAACGCTCGGGATTGGGGAAAGCTAGGGAGTTGAAACTTTGCAGGAATGTTCCCTACTCATGTACGGCTAAAAGTTTTCAAACTCAGCTCCTTAGGACCGTTCAGGGCTCACGTACGAGCGAGCACGTGAAAGTTTTTGGCGCGAAAATTACTAACCCGAGAACGCGAAAAACTAGAAAGCTGACATTTTATGGGAATGTCCCCTACTCTCGTACAACCAAAACCAGTTGTCTAGAGGCGTCCGAGACCCACGTACGCTACATGTGAAAGTTTTGGAGCGAAAATTACTAACCCGCGAACGCGAGAAGCTAGAAAACTGAAACTTTAGCGCAATGTTCCCCACTCACTTACGGCCAAAATCAGGTGTTTAGAGGCACCCGGGACACACGTACGTGCATGTGGAAATTTTGGCGCGAAAATCACTAACTCGGGGGGCGAAAAAAGCTAGAAAGCTGAAATTTTACGGGAATGCTCCCTACTCATGTACAACCAAAATTATTTGTTTAGAGGTGCCCGAGACCCACGCACACAACATGTTTTGGCGCGAAAATTACTAACCTAGGAACGGGAAGAGCAAGAAAGTTGAGACTTTAGGAACTGTCTCCTAATCGTGTACGACTGAAATCGGGTATTTAAAAACCCCCGGAGCCCACGTGCGGGCACGCGGAAATTTTGGGGCGAAAATCGCTAACCCGAGGACAAAAAAAGTTAGAAAGCTGAAACTTTTGGGTAATGTTCCCTACTCATTTATGACCAAAAGATTTCAAATTCAGCTTCTTAAAACCGTCTGGTAATCAAATACGGACATATGAAAATTTTGATGGGAAAACTGCTAACTCGGGAGGGAATGTTCCCTACTCCTGTGCGATTAAAAGATTTCAAATTTAACCCTTCTAGTGCAGCCTTTTTTGCGGACCAGCAACTTTTCACTTGTCGGGTCACTGAACTCGACATCT